AAATCTATGCATTTGAATGGGCGTGTGCCTGAAAGACGACTCCAAAAAATCAACAAAATAAAATCGTTAAGTTCAGTAAATTAAAAAAGGAATGGAAGCATCGAAAAACCAAAAAGTTTGCCTATTTTGCCAAAAAATGTAGAACTTATGAAATTCCTAAAAAAAATAGACGAAACGCCTACTGAAAACGCCCCAAAATTGTGCAAAACAAGCTTCTAAATGTCCCAAAGGTCGTAAAAACCGCAAAACTCCAATAGTGAATGGTTAAACCGAAAAAGCAAAGGTCTAAAGATAGTTTTTTTCGAAAAAAAGCCAACTATTTTAAAATCAACTTTCAGAACGCCCACAAAATAGCCCAAAACAAGCTTCTAAATTTCCCAAAAGTCTTACAAACTGCAAAAATCGAATATTCAATCGCTAAACCCAAAAAGGAACGCCCGAATCCATTCGCCCCCGCGTTTCTAAGGGCCAAGCCAGGAGGGGGGCCCTTGGAGCGCGCGCAATGGGCCCTAAGGGGGTGGCCGTTAGGGGGAGACCCCCAGTCAGTCCATGGCCAAGGCCACACCACTGGGGCCCACTCCTCGCCTGGGCCCTCACCAAAAGCTACGGTGCCTCGAGCGCCAACCCCCCGCCAGGAGGCTTATCGGGGGGTTGAGGAGGGAATGGAGAGAGGGTGGAAAACGAAAAAGGAGGCCAGAAAGCCCAACCAAAAAGACACACCGCTTAGAGAAGGGGGACAGCAGCTGGCGACTGGGATCGGCACACCTGCGAAATGCACTGGAAAAATTGAGGGACGGGTCTAGAGGAACCTACGATGAGAAAACTAGCTAAAAACTTTTTAAAGGTTCGAAAATCGAAACTTTGGGCAAAAAACCGGTACTGTTGCATTATCGGGGGACAAATTTTTTCTAACAATCCAATTTTTCTGATATAAAATTCTTAAAATTTTTCGAAATAAGTAGGGAAAACCTAAACTTTTTAAATTGTCATTTAAATTTTAAATTTTTCAATCTCCTAAACGTAAATAATTTACAAATTGCCATTAAAAATACAAAAAAAAGCGATTTTTCGAATAAAAGGCCCATTTTCGACCAAAATTTCTTTTCGAAGTCTTTTCATTGCTTACTGGCTTTAATATATAGGTAAATTATATTTCTAGACATGGGAAAAAGCTGTCCCCCCGATAATGCTAAAGAACCCCAAAACCGGGCCCCACCACTTCGAATGCAGTTGACGAAAAAGACGAAAAATGGAAGTGAGGGGGACCTGGTCTGGAACGCCCTTGAAGCCGTGACGTCGCCAGCCCATGGACTCTGAGGAGCCTGAGGCTTTTTTTGGCGTGCTCTGTCCATCAAATTTTGTTTCCAAAATCACGCAGCTGTTGCTCCTTGAACGTTTTCTTTTCTATCGTAAAAGGACAAAATTTAATACACTCGGAAACGCTCGGAAGTCTTGCAAGTTCAGCCAATTTTCATTCTAAAAAAGGCCAAGTTTATTCCTTTTTTATAAAAAAAAAAATACCAAATTCCGGTCATCTTTCCTTTAAAAAAAATTTTCTTTTTATAATTATATTAAAAAAGTTTTTTTTTGGGAATTTTTGGAAATCAGCGCAAAACAGGGACGTTTTTCACTACAAAATGATATTTTTCGTAATTTCCTAACGTTCCAAATAAATTTTGCGGACAAAATGAAATCCATTTCTTACGAAAAATCACATAAACCCGGCTGCCAGGCAATTTCCCACCGCGGGCAGCTCGCCCAAATTGGCCGCCAGGTGCACCAAGGGCAACGCGCCAACAATGGCATTTTTTTTCTTTCGGGCCCAACGCTTTCTAAGAAACCAAAAGTGATTTGGCGGGCGGCGAATTTGGCTTGCGTGGTAAGCTACTTTAGCCCCCAAAGTCCCGGAAACAAGATTTTAAAAAATGAGTCTAAGCGAGACCGCCCCATTACGTGATAGCACAAAGTTACAGTCCCATAAATTTATCGGATTTTTATCACAAATAGTTGCGTTTAGCATCGAACTATTTAACACGGGAAAATTAATTTGGTGAGGTCAACGGTAGCTGAAACGAGATTCATTGCGTGGAAGTTTTAGAAGACTAGAAGCTTTTTCAAAGGGACGTCGGAATAGGGTCAAACATTTATGGGGCAAAAACAAGGCAACAAGGCAAAATGGGGGTGGGGGGGTCACAATTCAATATGTACAAATGAGTCAACGGGAGCTTGACATTGAGGGCAGGCCAATTTACCCTGGGCCATCATGCGATTATAACACGGTTCACAAAGGCAAAAGTGATTGCAGGGCTGGAGGAGACATGTCTTCTCACTCCGTCGACACGCCGAACAGAGAAGCCGCGAGACGGGACGCCGCCGGACCGTGTCTTGCGGTCCCAACATGTCCACGGCATCCCGTACACGTTCGGCTCGCTGGTCGACCTTGGCGAACAGATCCAAGAAGAACTGAATCGGGTGGAACAACAGATAAAAGATCTTCTTGATCGTGTCAAGCTGGGGAAAGAAGATGGTGACGACGGAGTAGAGCAATGCACCAATGTACGGGATCGCTTGGTAGAACACGAAACGGATCGGGTCGGCACGGGTAGCCTTGCGGATGGCCCAGCTGAGACTGAAAAAGAGGAAGATCATGAAGACGAGGAGGAATGGGTGTGAGAGGCAGAAGTTGAGCGTGGAGCGGAACGGCAGTGTCAGCAGCGATACGCACCCGGAGAGCAGCCACCAGACGAACGAGATGATGGCGATGGGGACGGCGAGGACTGTTGAGGCGGTCTCGTGCAGTTCGTCACAGGGCAATCCTGAAAAATTATCTAATTTTTTTTTGGCGCAATTGTAATCCGTTTCTCCTTTAGGATTTTTCGTTACTATCAAATTTTTCTAATACAGAAACCAGCGTCTATAGTTTTTCATTTTCTAAAAAAGTCTTAAAAACCAAACAAAAAAAGTTGGGCGTATCTGATATTTGGACGTTTTATAAGTTTTCCAGATAGTTTTTCTCCTTCAAAATATAGCTAACAAGGAGACGTTTCTAGGTGGGCACGGAGTTTCGGAACGGGACCTAGCCTATCTTGTGCAGAACTTTTTGATGATTAAAACGTGCTTTGTAGAATTTGCGAAACGACCGGAAAACCAAAGTTATGAGGGTTTAAAGTGTGAAAAAGGCCCAAAATGGCCTACTTTCGGTACCTATAAAAATATAGCAGAATAAGTTTCCACGAAAACAAATTAGTGCATCTTGCTCAGAAAATCACGCTCTTCCGAATCAGCCATCTCATGAAACAAGTTCGAACATTTTTTCAAAAAGATTAATTTAGACGACATGGTCCCCCATGTGAAATTTCCGCAATTTGACGAAATTTTGAAATTTCCGCGTGACATGGCTCATTTGAAAGAGCGTAATTTTCTGAGCAAGATGCACTAATTAGTTTCGTGGAAACTTATTCTGCTATATTTTATAGGTGCCGAAAGTAGGCCATTTTGGGCCTTTTTCACACTTTAAACCCTCATCACTTTGGTTTTCCGGTCGTTTCGCAAATTCTAAAAAGCACGTTTTACTCAGCAAAAAATTCTGCACAAGATAGGCTAGGTCCCGTTCCGAAACTCCGTGCCCACCTAAAAACGCCTCCTTGTAAGTTCTACTATAACCCCTCTCAAAAAACTGGCTCGTTCATTACTATGTAGGATCTGGATTAGTAGAAAAAAATCGGACCGCCGGATAACGCAAAAGAAACGAAATTCCACAAAAATGCCGATGCATATAACAACTATCAAAAATATCGATATTGGCAAAATTCAAGGGTCCAGGCCATTTTTAAAAAATGCTGAAGGCCGAACACACCTAGAAAATCGCATATTCCTCGTCCGGCCACTCGCGCGCCTTGTATCAACGAATTCAGATAGTCGTTGTAGCCTTCGCCGACATGATTGAACATTCGTGAGGATGAGGAAGGATCCTAAATTGAGTAAGTTGCGTAATACCCTATTGTCTAGCTAACAAGGGGACGTTTTTGCGTGCCCACGAGGTTTCGAAATGCGAGCTAGCGCTGTGCAGACTTATTGCTGATTAAAACCGCGTTTTCAGAATCTGCGAAACGACGAGAATAAGGAAACTACGAAACTTTAAATGGCGAAAACGGCCAAAGTCGGCCATTTCGCCAAACATTAGAGCTACGTAGCTTTTGAAATATGGTCATTTCGCACATCTTGAAAGATGCGTTTTGATCAGCGAAAAATTCTGGACAATACGGGGTCGGTTTTCGAAACCCCGTTGACACTCAAAAACGTCCTGCTTTTAAGTATCCTTAGACTCTTCAACATACCTCATATTGCGGTGCAGGACGTCTTGAATAAGCCATATCGGTACGATCGTCGAGAGAATTGAGTCGATTGGCATCAGACGGGGGAGGCCAGTCTTGTTGTGCTGTTTCACTTGCACTTTTGTTGTTTATTTGTTTTCAGCCGCCGGATTTCGTTAGCCAATGCATGTCAAAAACGCGCGGGTTGCAGTGTACCGAGGTGTCCCGTGTAGCCTTAGCGGTTGGAATTCAGCGGCGAAGCTTTTTCTGTTTCTAAAATTTTTTCTATACCTTCCAAATAGATATTTTCTAGGATAAAATATTGTTTATATTATTTAAGCAGTTCTTTATAAAATCTAGATGCTTCGCGCACCCCTAATTTAACGCTCTCCTAGCCGCAACGGCTCAAAAACGGCGCTATTTGCTTTAGCGGACTATCCTTGATTTTCCACCGACTTTCTACTGATCCTAGGATAGTTTGAGGTGCTGAGCCCGAGAAAACAACGTTCCGGAGTCCAAAAAAGAAAAAAAAAAAACTGAGGCGGAAAACCGCCGATAAAAATGGATTTGCTAAGGTGAAATAGCGACACAAAACTATATTTCTTGATAGAAAACAGTATTGCCAGCTTCTTCTATTTTTGAGGCATTTAAACCTTCCATATAAAATCATAAATAACACTTTTACAGATGTTACGCCCACCGTTGCGGCTAGCCGGTGCCGCGCGACTGGAATCGACGCTAGCGGCCCGGATGCGAGAAGCTTCCGGCGATTTGAAGACGATGAAACGGGCGGTGCCGTCGGCGGATGATGTCGACGTCCATCGGGATGCCAACGGGGAGCCGTTTCGCGAGATGTTCGTCATGCCACGACGGAAGCTGCGCGCGCAGATGAGCATCGAGCAGCAGACGGGGAGGGCTGAGGTGTGGTTTTTGGATATTTTTTGCGAAAAAAAGCTAAGAATGCAAGCGAAAACCGTCCGTAGTTATTTTTATGCTTTTTGCGCGCCAGATGTTTGTTGTGATAGCTTGAACAGCACTAATACCTCGGTTTGCAAAATCTCCTTTTTAGTGGAAACAACGCAGCCGTTTCGACATCGGCAATCGACTCGCGGTGCGAAAGCCCCGCTCGGAGACGATGGAGCCCGACCAGGATTGGCCGAACGTCTGGCCGGCCGCCCGATCATTCAACGCTTCCGTGGTGCCGCTTCCGGTCCGCATGGGCGCGCGGCCAAACCCGGAAAGAAGGGCCCCCTTCAAGAAACAGGGCAACCTCGAGCTGGTCAAGATCCCCAACTTTCTCCACCTCACGCCGGCGGCCATCCAGCGACACTGTGAGGCCATCAAGAAGTTTTGCACGCCATTTCCGGCCGAGTTGAAGAAAGAGGAGGCTGTTGATCAGGTTTGTGAAATTATGTGCTTTTTCTGAACCTGTATTTTTCAGTTTTTGCCGATGAGCCTCTACTACAATGACTACGTTCATCAAGGCTCCTCGATTCGTGATCCCCGCTCCCGTGTCGTCACCACCACCCTGAAAGTGAAACATCTGGGTCTAACCGACGCGGCCTACCAGAAGATTCAACGACTGGCTGGTCAAAGGTATTACAGCTTTTTTTTTTATTTTGAGCTGGCTTTTTAGATACGATGAAGCCACGGATACGCTCACGATTCTCACGGACCGCTGTCACACAAGAAAGCAGAATGACGACTACGGGCAGTACCTGCTGACGGTGTTGTACCACGAGGCGCACAAGGTTGAGCAGTGGGAGCAGCAGGCGACGAGAGTCGACGCGTTGAAGCTGGAATTTGAAGGGTCGGCTTCGAAGGAAAAGGTAAAAATTTCGGTTCCTTCCTTATTTTGCCTGTAAATAATGCTTATTTTTGTTCTTTTGCCTGTAGTAATAAACCGCGTATTTAGTATTTATAGTAGCGGCCGTGCCAAAAAGTGCTAACAACATTTTTAGAAATTTCGTAAAACTTCACATCCTTTTGCCTTTTTAGGTAATTTTTCATGAATTTTCGGGCAAAGTTGGACAATTTCGGTTTTTTTTTTTGTTTTTGGAAACACCGTTCGGTTTACAAAAAAGTTCTGAAAACTTCTTTGGAAAAGTTGTAAAACGCAATTGTTGCGTTTTTAGGTAATTTTCAAGAATTTTTGAGCAAACCACGAAATTTTTGTATGAAAAACAGGGCAACAACCGATAAAAATTGTTTAGATTGATTTTTTCAACGGTTAATAAAATCAGGACAAGGGAAAATAAGAAATTAAAAACCCAAGTACGGTGGCCGATCACCTGTTCGAAAATCATCTGTTCGAAAACCATCTGTTGAAAATCATCCGTTCGAAAATCATCTGTTCGAAAATCACCTGTTCGAAAATCATCTGCTCGAAAAGTCATCTGTTCGAAAAGTCATCTGTTCGAAAATCATCGGTTCGAAAAATCACCTATTCGAAAAAGGTCCCAAATGGGGAAAAATTCTATGGGAAGCTATTGCTATTAAAATGCTGTGTTTCGTGGGAAAGTTCGAGGAAAATCTGAAATTGCGCGGCTATATCGAATCCTCCGCCAAGCCAAAGAAGCGCCCGAGGGTGACCATCGACGAGCAGCAGCAGCTCTGCGAGAACTACAGCAAAGAATATATGGCCGAGTTCCTCGACAACAACGCCAAAACTTTACCTGAATCGTCATGAATATGTCCTTTACAGTCTTTTTGTTTTTTTTTTTTGTCATGAAAACCCTTTTCAAAAAAACGTGAATTTTGGAAAAGTTGTTGCTTGGAAAAACGGTGATTTTTCGAACAGATGATTTTCGAACCGATGATTTTCGAACAGATGACTTTTCGAACAGATGAATTTTCGAACAGATGTCTTTTCGAACAGATGATTTTCGAACAGATGATTTTTCGAACGGATGATTTTCGAACAGGTGATTTTCGAACAGATGATTTTCGAACAGGTGATAGGGAATCCCCAAGTACCTTTTCAGATAATATCGCTGCTCCGACGCGCCAAGGATTGCGACGCCCTCTCGCCATCCGTCCAACTTTCCGCCGACTCGAAGGGCGACGAGCCCGAACTGCAGCAATTTGCCGAAAAGTGGAATCGATACCGCAACGAGAAGGAATCGCCGGCTTCGACGAGAAGCTACGCCGAATCCGTCAAATCATTGCTAGGCATCCCGAAATTGGTCTGAATTTCTTGTAGTGTGCATTCCGTTTAGTCTAGTTCTTTAGTCTCCCGATTTTGGCTCATTGAATTTGTTGTTTTGCTAAGATCCATTGCCTTATTGTCCGCCTCCAGTTTTGGGGCATTTTTTGTAACCTGATCTTTCGATATATGGATGATTGTTTTGAATAAACTTATTTGAACCTGAGAAACTTTCCTGGAAATTGCAAATGGGTTGAAGCCGAATGATTTTTCGAGGTGTGGAGAAGCAGGGGTTCTTTCGCATTATCGGGGGTGGTGACCGATTTTTTTGAAATTCCAGCAATTTGTGGAAATTGTTATAGCTATGTTGAAGAGCAAACTTTAGAATCTTTTCAAAGAGGTTAAAGATTGTAAAATTCGATCGCAAGGGTATTTTGTATTCGTAGCAAATTATAAAGCGTTTACGGCTATGAAGCGTAGAAAATTCTCTAGAAATAGCTCCTTTATTTATAATAGCTATAAAATGTGAATTCCAAGGTACTAGAAAGCCTTCTAAAAAATGGAAATTTTGATCGAAAAATCTATTTTTTTCCCGTCATTCATTAAAATTTGCATAGTTTACGCTTTTAGGATCAGGCGTAGTAGAAAAATTAGTTACCAAAAAGTTTGCCCTTCATTAATGCGAAAGCATCAAAGCAAGCCATTTCAAAAACATTTTTTTCAGGGCCAATTCCGATAGATGGTACATGTTGGAGATGCGGTTACAATGCTTGGATCGGGGCTCGCCTTCTTTTCGCTGGGATGGTTATTTTTTGTAAAGCAGGTAGGTTTTTTTGACGCTTTTCTGGATAGCTCATTCTTTCCAGTTATTTCGCAACTACGAGGTGCACAATCGAAGTGTGCAGCTGCTATTCGCGCTCACTTTCGCCATCTCGTGCACGCTGTTTGTGCTGATCATTTTCGAGATTGCCGATGTTTTACAGGCTGAGTAAGTTTTTTTAGACCCTAGTTTTACTAAATGTATCTTTTAGTTCCCGGATGACCTACTGGCGGCTGAATCTCTACATTATCCTCTTCATTCTGATCGTCATTGTGCCGCTCTACCTGCCATATTGCTGTCTACGCTCTTTCACGCAAAGTAATAACCGTTATTTTTTACGGAGTTCCGTTTTAGTGTCGAGAAGTAAGGCGCTCGCCTCTTCCCTGATCATCTTCACCACGTTCATCTACTTTTTCTGGAAAGCCGGCGATCCGTTCCCGATTCTGAGCTCTCAGCACGGTAGAGCAAATTTTCTAAGTCTTAAAATTCCTTTTTTAGGCATATTCACTATCGAGCAGGCCATTTCTCGCATCGGCGTCATTGGCGTGACGGTGATGGCGTTCCTCTCGGGTTTTGGTGCCGTCAACGGGCCCTATCAATGCTTGACGTATTTTGTGAGCTCGGTGAATTTTTACCTAAAATTTGGGGCCTCCAAAAAGTTATTATTTCAATTTTTCAGGTCACCATGGAGGATATCTACAAAATGGAGCGAAAAGTGCATCAAGTGAACGATGCCATCGTGCGCAAACTCTTCCAGATCGAGGATTTCAGCAATCAGCTCGAGAGTTGTGGGTTTCGTTGAAACGCTTGTTTATTCAACTCGAGTTTAGCACTAAACGCGGCGACTGGCGCCACACCACTCTACAAGCGGGCATTTAGCCGATGGTCCGAACCATCGAGCGGAGGCATTCAGCAAAAGATAAAGTACGTTTTTCGACGAAAATTTCAAGTTTTTGACTCTCAGGGGTCTTGAGCTCGAAATCACGCAAAACGAAGAGCTGCAGCGGCATCTATTCTACGAGCTGATCGAGTTGAGGCAGAATAAGGTATCCAAAATTTTGAAGAAGAGGATTTTTATACTTTAGGAACGAGCCGACTATTCGAAGACGTTCCTGGGCAAGTACTTCAACATGCTCGGCTACTTTTTCGCGATCTACTGCGTGTGGAAGATTTTCATCTGCACGATCAATATTATTTTTGATCGTGTGGGAAAGGTTGCAATTTACAAGTTTAATGAACTTATTTTTCTCTAAATTGATCGTAATTCTTAAATGCGAAATTTGCTTTAAACATTTTAGTTCTGGAAAGTCGAATTCATATTTTAGGTGGACCCAGTGACGCGAAGCATCGAAATCCTGATCCATTGGTGTGGGCTGAGCTTTGATGTAAGTGTTTTAGCATTTTTGAAAATTATTCTGGTTTTTAGGTGCGCTTCTGGTCGCAGCACGTCTCCTTCCTGCTCGTCGGCATCATTGTCGTCACCTCGGTGCGCGGCCTGCTCATCACGCTGTCAAAATGGTTCCACGCGATCGCCTCGATCAAGAGCTCCAACGTGCTCGTGCTCTTCTTTGCTCAGTTGATGGTAGATTCGATTTTTTTAAAGTGAAAACCCCTTTCAGGGCATGTACTTTGTCTCGACGGTGCTCCTGATGCGGATGAACGTGCCGTCGCAGTACCGCGAGATCATCACCATCGTGCTCGGGGATCTCAAGTTTTCGTTTTATCACAGATGGTGCGTGATTTTCGGTTCTTTCGCACTATCAGGAGCCCGAATTTTTTGTTTTAGTCTAGAAATGCCTAGTAAATTAATAGGATGTATTCAACAGCGTTTTTACTAAAACAAAACTACATTTTAACTAGAAAACGATCTAAACCCCTGAAAAAAGTCGACTTTTTGGTAAGGCATTTTTAGGCGAAAATCGATAATTTCGTATTTTTTAAAAGAAACTTGCAGGTTTTTTGGCGTTTAGGAATGGTGTATGTGAAAGGAATGGTGAAAAACGGTTTACAAACATTTCGTCTATTTATATTTGAAAAGTTGGATTCTATGGAAAAATTAGCCCCTCCCCCCGATAATACGATAGCACCTTTTTTTTATTTTCTTAACGTTGGTTTTGTAGGTTCGACGTGATCTTCCTCATCTCGGCGCTGTGTTCCATCGCCGTCCTCTACCTCATCCGACGGCCAGCACGAGAAAAATCGGATTTTTAAAGTGTTTTTTGTATTTTTTTTCTAAGCGTTGCCTTGACTTTCTGTTACTGTAAGGCTCTAGTATTCCCCCATATTAGCAAAATTTCCTTTCTCTTGATTCCGTGACGAGTTATATTACGTAATTTAATAATGCTTGTATTTTTCCTAATTCCCCAACCAACGCGGGTCGCCCACGATAATTTATTACCTTTTTCCTCGCGGGCGTTGTGATACGTTGTGATATTATTTATGTGTACTTTTTTTCTGAAATAAAAGATTTCTGCAGGTTGTGTTATACAAGTCGATGGATTTTAAATAAAACTGTGTTCCGCAAATGAGTCTAAATGTCGTTTTAGCGCAATGATTTCCGCTTCTTATTTTGAGCCGCGCTGCCGATTGCCGTTATTCTGAAAGTCGTTCTTCGGAAATTCCGGCCGGTTTTTATTTTTCTAAACGATTGTTAGAAACCTCTTATTCAAAATTTCGCTAAATTCGATCGGTTCTTCCTCCTGCTTTTATTGTGATCTTTTTATACCAATTTTCGAAAACGCCGATTTTTGAAAACGCGACTTTCGAAAGTTTCGAAAATCTTCGAAATAGAGGTTGCGACAGCGTATTGCAAGATTTCCGCTGCCTGCTTCTTCTTTTTTCCATGGTTTCACGATGAGAAGCGTATTTGGAAGTAGTTTCACCATTTCATAGTTTTACAGGAAGATTGCTTTCGCTGACGACTTGTAAAGTAAGACCTTTTTTCCGACTTCTTGGCCTATTTTTACTTTCGTTCCCCTTCATTTCCCATTTCTTGCTTTAATTATTTTTCGCCGATCTTATCCTTTTTTTTTCAGGTAAAGCGGCGATGCGTCGCAGGGGCAAGCGCCGCGCCACGAAGCGCCGAAAAGTTGGTGCCGAGCCGAAGAACCCGCTCGAGCGCCCCGACCAATCGGCGATGGATGGTGCGTTTTCCATTTTCCATTGTTTGCTTCTAATTGTTTGCGATCGAATGCGATTACTCTTTTGCAGATAAAGCCGCGATGCCGCTCGCGAAACGTCGAAAATTTGAAGATGAGCAGGATGAGGAGCACGAGCTGCCCGGCGACTCGGTGAAGGACGGTGAATCGAAGCCGCGCGTCCAAATCTACGACTTTTGCTGCGAGATCCTCTGGAAAATCGTGGAGCAGCTTGAGGTGAATTGCTATCATTTTTTCGAAATATTTTTTTGTCGAAATTTCAATGCATTGAAATTTGAATTTCGAACTATTTCAGAAGAATAATCGAGGCAGAGTAGGCATTGGAATTTCGGCTAAATGGTTTTCGACAAATTAAAATCACCCGCTTTAGGTTGGAGAGGTGCTCTCCCTCGCAAAGTGCCACCCGAACCTGCTGGGCGCGCTGAAGGAATTCCCGAACAAGGGCTACAACCGCGTTCAATGGGGCGTCGATAGAGTGGTCTTCTCGGACGGCATCACGACACAGGACGACGAGGGAAAAAAACTGGACGCACGCCGAGGCGGAGATTCTGCTCGCCGATGCGTGGGTGGAAAGCCTGGACTACTCGCTGCACCTCGACACCAAGCTCAACATCAAAGTCGGCACCGTCAACTTCCAGGTAGAGTTGGCATTTGAGGAAACCGGTTTCCGATCGATCGGATTGACCGGATTCTATTGAAATCGATTTTTCGGTTCTTTCACATTATCGCGGGGGCGAACTTTTTTGTATAAGTCTAGAAATGCCTATTAAATGCATAGCAAGTGCTTTCATAGCATTTTTAGTAATCTATGACTATATTTCAGCCAGAAAAAATCAGTTTGAAAAAAGTAAAATTTTCGTCCAAAAACCGGCCTTTTTCGCGCGGAAAATCGATATTTTTTGCTAGTTTTTGATAAAAATTTGTAAAGTTTTCACGTCTAGGAATAGTAAAAAAACTATTCTAAAAGAATTTCACAAATTTAGGTTTGAAAAATTCTGTCCTAAGAAAAAAGTCGCCCCCCCCCCGATAACGCGAAAGAGCCGAAAAATCGATTTCATTACAACCCGGTCAATCCGATCGATCGCCGGTTTCCTCAAATGCTAACGCTTTTTTACAGGGCGAGCCGGCAGACGCCTACAAATGCGCAGCGCTCATCGAAAGCTGGGAACCCTGGAGGGTGAGCTTCCCGAAATGGGGCGCTTCCGTCTTCCGCTTCTACCCGGATCTGGCGCGCCTACTAAAAGATATCAGCTACATCGGCCTGTTCCGCTTGCCGATCCGCTGGCTCAGCGAAATTCCGGAGTGGAACCTGACGTGTGTCGACCTAAAGATTGCCACCGGCGGAAAGGACATTGTTATCGAGCTGGCCAACGTGTTCCGCGCCCTCTGCGACCAGTGGATCTCGTTTCAACGCTCCGAATTCTGCCTCCAAATCTACGTCAAGGACTCGCCGCTGGCGCTTGCTGAAGTGCTGCACATTTTGGCGCACGACGGTTACGCCCTGCCGATCGTCCGCCGTGATCGCTGCCGGTTAACGTACCGACACTTCCTGAACGGCCTGCTGATGCGCGGCCACTATCCAGAATGAGATATATATATAGATATCTCACGTTGCTGCTTGATCTCATTGTTTTGTTCGTCAATACTTTTTAATTTTTCAACGTTGTCAATAAATTATTTTGTCGAAAAAGGCGTGGATAACGCAAAAAAATAGTAGTTTTGGGGGCGCTGCACGCCGGGCGAACGTTTGACGTCAGACTATTACGTAGCTTCTCAGGCGCGTTTTTATACCTTCTGGCTTAGAGAGCGCTGTGCGGTTCTAGATTGGATTGAAACATTTTTGCAAAGCAGGCTTTCTGAATTTTCGCCACACCTTGTTTTCAGTGAAATATTTATTAAGGCTGTTCAACAAAATGAGAAGGATAAAAAAAAGAGATTGATTGACCTAACGGCGGAACGAATCCATGTAGAAACGCGGCTTGGGAGGAGTAAGCATCGTGCGCATTTCGCAGCCCCACTTCAGAGGAACGGCACCCGGACGTTCTACAACGTGCACCGACTCCGGGCGTGTAGCTCTGTCGGCGACTTCAAAAGAATCGATCATGCCCGAGCCGATGAGGATTGAAATATAGAAAAAGCCACGTTCACCGGCGACCCATTGATCGTGGAGCTTCTGGAACAGGGACTGGAGCTGTGGTGTCACATTCTTTCCCTCGGCGTCCAAACACGTTTTCAAGGACGTAAATTTCCAATCCGGAATGTAGCTCAACCATTCGACTGGCAGCGCGCTAAATTCCAGGCAATAGACATCTTTCAGCACCCGAGGGAGTTCCGGAATTGAATTGAAAGCTTCGGAATCCCACTCCGGAAAGACGACTTGGTGAGGCTTCCATTTTTCGATCAATCCAACGCACTTGTCACCATCTTCCTCGTCTCCTTGAATCACCAACGTGCGCACAGAAGCAACTGGCGTAACGTTAGTCTGCAAGTCGTACTTGACCTCCTCAACCTCGGCGCCCGTCAACAAAATATCCGCCTCGATATGCGTCAACTGCACCATCTGCATCGGGAAAAAACCCATGAAAGTGACGCCGTGAGGCATGACGTTTACCAGATCGAACCACTTGTCCGTCAGATTTCTTGTGGCCTGTAGAAGATTGGGATGGCATTTGGCGACCTGCAGAAGCTCTGCCCACTCGAGCGTCTCCATGATTGGCCAAAGCAGCTCGTAAGGGAGGTCGCATATATTGGTCGAAGTTTCCGCGCCTTTTGATGCCTTTTCCTCTCTGTATTCGGCATTTTTCAGCAGAATATCGGCCTCCTTGCGGTCAAACGTTTCGTAGTTGATGATGGCCACATGTTTCGATAGATGAACGATTTCCCAACGCTTATCCGGCCAATCCATGACGTTTTTGCGCAGAGTTTCATGCGATCTGGCCGTCTCGAGCAGACTACGGGCATCCAACGGGCCGAATACCTCGTACATCAAATCGAGTGGCAGATCGAGCAATCCCTTCTCGACTTCAACCTTGCAGCGCTTGGCACTTGGCGATTGTAGATCCTCGGGAAGAACGCCAGCCATTTCTTTCCTGAAAAATCGGAATATAACTTTGAAGTGAAAACAAACAAGAGAAATAACGGAACAAATAGAAATGCAATGGATTGATCGGCAAAAGAGCGCAAGCGCAAAAAAGCAAAACTGCCTGGGAAAATTAGTTTAGCGATAGAATTTTTAGATTCGCGGGCGCCGCAGCGTTTCTAAGTACATTTCAAATATTTTCGCCGTTCTCATCCGTGCAAACCAAACCGTTTTAGCAAAGCGGGTCGCGCCAGAAAGCTAACCAGTATGCAGCAGAAATTTTCGCTATTTTCCGACGAGAGCAACTGCTTATCCGCTGTAAGGACATAAGCCGAATCTGGAAAACTAAGAAATACAAATATTGTGCAATAGGTGACCCAAATATTGCTGATCTTTGGGAGACAATGTTTCCAACGCTATTTATTGAGGCTGTACAGCAAAATGCGAATGCGTGATAAAGGCCGCGTCAGCGTCTTAGGACGTATGCATATAAAAACGATCCTTGTACGGGCTCATCCAGATGGAGCGACTGCATCCCAAGTACAGAACCGTGCCATCAGGACGTTCTACTGCGTGTCGCGCTCCGAGCCGTGTAGAGATGCCGCCGACCTCAAAAGAATCGTCGTTGGTAAGGGAGTTGACGCGGACGATCAGCACGAATGCGTGGCGCTCGGATGACATCCACTGGTCGTAGAGCTTCTGGCACATGGACTGGAGCTGCAGGGCGGCATTCTTTAGAGCCGTGTCGACGGAGAAATCCAGCTCCTCAAAGCCCCAGCCTGGAATGTCGCTCAACCATTCAACGGGGAGCTCATCGAATTTCAACCGCTTCACATCCTTCAAAACGCGGGGGAGCTCCGGAATCGCGTTGATGACTTCAGCATTCCAATCCGGAAAGTCGACTTCTGGCGGTTTCCATTTGTCGATCAATCCAGCGCATTTGTGGGCATTTTCCGGTTCGCCCAGAAAGATCAGCCGGTTTAGGCACAGATCGGGGGCTATCGTCGTCTGCACGTCGTAGCGGAGCTCCTGAACAGTTGAGCCCGTCAGCAAAATCTCCGCCTCGATGTGCGTCCAGCTTGAATATCCTGGATTGCGACCATAATGCCCCACATAGACGCCGACCTCGTTCGAATGACAATCCACTATATCGAAACGTTTGTCGTTGAGGTTCCTCGTCGCCCGTAGTAGATTGGGATGGCATTTGGCGACTGATACGAGGGCATTCTCATCAAGCGGCTTCAAGATTGGCGACAGCAAATCGTAAGGAAGGTGACAGATATTTACTGAAGTTTCCGTAGCGGCTTCGTCCCGCTTGTAGTCGGCATTTCCCAGCAAAACCTCGGCTTCCCAGTCCTCAAAAGTTTCGTAGTCGATGATGGCCTTGCCGTTCGCTAGATGAACGATTTCCCAACGCTTTCCGGGCCAATCGATGACTTGTTGGCGCAGAATTGGATGCGATTTGGCCATCTCGAGCAGACTACGGGCCTCCAGCGGTCCAAAAACTTCGTACATCAGATTGACGGGCAGGTCGAGCAGTCCCTTCTCGGCTTGAACCTTGCAGCGCTTGGCACTTGGCGATTGTAGATCGTCGGGAAGAACGTCAGCCATTTGCTGAAAAATGGGAATATACAGGGTGTCCCAAAAAAAAAGACACCGGCCGCATTTCTCTATTTTGGGTCCGATCAACTTGAAATTTTGCACAGAGGTAGCGAAGTCAATTTCCCATGAACACAGAAAGTTTCAGCCCCATCGGTCAGCGGATTTTAAAGTTATAACGAAAATACTTTTTATTTTTTATTTAATATGGGGATCCATGCAATTTGCATAAAAAAATGTGCGTAATTTTGTCATTTACGAGCTGATTTTGCATAATTTTTGCCGAAAAAGGCCATTTACAGTTTGCGCTTCGTAAGAACGATTGCGCATGGGAAGTAAAAATGATCCACAAAACCGTCAGATACAAGAAACCAGTATTGTAACATACGTTCACCGTTTGTTTTAATTTATTTCTGGGCTTACGCATAGATTTAAAGCCTCGATTTGGATTTAGGCATTAATTTGGGGCTGGTCGAACGCTGCGTCGAGTCCAAGGCAGGCGCAACTGACCAAAACTTCAATAAAATGTGTTTGAGTGTTCAAAAAGCTGCTGTTTTCACCATATTTTGTTTGTCATGCGCAATCGTTCTTACGAAGCGCAAAACTGTAAATGGCCTTTTTCGGCACAAATTATGCAAAATCAGCTCGTAAATGACAAAATTACGCACATTTTTGATGCAAATTGCATGGATCCCCATATTAAATAAAAAATAAAAGGTATTTTCGTTATAACTTTAAAATCTGCTGACCGATGGGGCTGAAACTTTCTGTGTTCATGGGAAATTGACTTCGCTACCGCTGTGCAAAATTTCAAGTTGATTGGACCCAAAATAGAGAAATGCGGCCGGTGTCTTTTTTTTGGGACACCCTGTAGTTCTGGAAAAGAAGAAATATACGATAAATAGAGAACAAATGATAATTCCAATAGATTACTCGGTAACGGAGCGGTGAGCGAGCGCAAAAAAGCAAATTTACCGGGGGGAAACTTAGTTTTTTAGTTAGGCTTTATAGCATGGCGAGCGCAGCGCCGTTTCGAAATTGGATTACAAATGTTTTTGACCTTATCATCCGCGAAAATAAAACTGTTTTAGCAAAAAGAGTCGCGCTGGAAAGCTAGTCGGTAAGTAGCAGCACTTTTCGCTATTTTCGGCAAAGCGCTTGCTTACTCGCTAAAAAGATATAAGCCGAATCTCCTTCAATTGATTGGTTAGAAATATTGATCAGTAGGTGACCTAAATATTGCTGGTTTTGTGCGACAATGTTTTCAACGAAATATTTATTAAGACTGTTCAACAAAATGAGAAGGCATAACAACAGGAAGAGATCAAAACACATGCACTGTCATCCAAACACGAACCTCGCGAGGAGTACGGCGAGCGTTACCCCGCTTGGCCATTTTATTATATCCCAAAGCATTGTATCCACAAGTCAGAACCCAGCAATCAGATCGTTTGGCTCGGTATTCGATTCCGGGCTGTAGAGAGATTCCGTTCACTTCAAAAGAACGGATGTTATGCGACTTGCCGTAGATTTCCAAGTCGATTCCGTCCCGTTCGAATGCAATCCATTGGTCGTAAAGCTTCTGGAACATGGATGTCAGCTGCCGAGTAGCATTCCTTCCCTCAGAATCCAACCGAAATTTTAGTGTACAAAAGTCCCAATCCGGAATGTAGCTCAACCATTCGACTGTTAGAACGCTTATGTTCAGCCGTCCGACATTTTTCAGCGCCCGAGGGAGTTCCGGATTCGAGTTGAAGGCTTCAGCATTCCAATGCGGAAAATCTATTTTTTCAGGCTTCCATTTGTTGACCAATTCCGCACATTTGTAAGCCATTTCTTGGCTTCCTTCAAACCTCAACTTCCGTACACGCATATCCGGGGCGATATCTGCCAGCACGTCGTACCGCAGCTCTCGCACATCGGCGCCGGACAACAGCACTTCCGCCTCAAGGTGTGTCCAGACCAACGGATTTTGCCTCGCGAGCCAAGAAGTGCCAGACAGCAGAAAAACCTCTGCAGAGATATTCACCTCGTGGAAATACTTGGTCCTCAGGCCCCTTGTCGCCCGCAGAAGATGGGGATGACATTTGGCTAGCGCCATCACTTGGTTTCCATAGAGCGGATCCATGATTTGCCACAGCAGATCGTAGGGAAGGTCGCAGATGTTGGTCGAAGCCCCCGTGCCTGGCGAGCTGTGTTCCTCCTTGTATCGAGCCTTCTCCAGCAAGACCATCTCATCCTCCCAAGAAAAAACTTCATAGTCGATAACGAGCTCGTAATCCGATCGGTAAACGATTTCCCACGCCTTTCCGGGCCAATTGACGACGTGTTCGCGCAGAGTCTGGTGAGAATTGGCCGTCTCGAGCAGACTACGGGCATCCAGCGGGCCGAACACCTCGTACATCAAATCGGCGGGCAGATCGAGTAGGCCCTTCTCTACGGTAGGCGCGCGGACCTTGAGATCCATCGCTTCAAGCTTGTCCAAGAATTCTTGCTCCATTCGTGCAGAAATGCCTGGAAAAGTTGATATAGTCGCGTGAAATGTGTGAACCGGAAGTAAATCGGATAAAACTAAAAGGCTTTGGTGAATTAGTAGCTTCCGGCTTACAGAAAAAGGTGTAAAAGCGCGCTATCTAGGGGAAGCTTTACGCCGAAAGTCGCTAACTTAGTTATAAAGCTTTTTATTAGTTTTTGTTAGCTTTCCCCCCTTTTTGGCGCTTTAAACCCCGTTTTTCAAACTTCCAAAACAAAAAAAATGTAAAAAACCGGCGGTATCCAAGAGATACTTTACTCCAGAAGTATCTAAATTAAAAATAGATCTTTTTAAAACATTTTTATGTATTTCACCCCCTGATTTTCGGTCAAAACCCCCATCTTTTCAAAATTTTACAGCAAAAAAGTGTAGACAACCGACGGTCTCCCAGGGCGATTGGAGACAATGCCCTCACCCACCGCCCTGCCACGCACGCATTTTTGAGCAAAACGAACGCCACGCTTTTCGGCGTAACTTTTGCAACTTAGAAGAGCTAAGCTAACTTCAAAGCTTATGTCCTCCCAATAGCCGAATTCGCCTCCCCGATCTGGTCGCCTCGAACCACTTTCTGGCGCGATAAGTTTGAAACCATACAAAAAATTTTCACTCGCCTTGTGTTCCAACGCTGCCACCTCCCACCCCAGCCCTATCCCGTAAGATGTACTTTCCTAAAGCTAAAGTCTATGCATCATAGACGCGTAATTTCCGACCTTATGTACGGCTTTAAGATCCTACACGGACTGTGTCATGTTCCCCGGGCCGCCATCTTCACTTTCAAACTAGGCTTTGGCCGAAATAAGAGACTTTTATTCCACGTTCCTAAGGCCCGGACAGAATCGCGTAAATCTGCCTTCTCCTCCCGAATCACACGCTGGTTCAACCTACTTCCACCCGGCATAATAGCTAAGTGCAATCCGAAGTCTTTCCGCAAGCGCATTTCTAAGCTCGACCTCTTTACTATGCTAAAACTCAATGCCTAAATTCAAGCCAACCTCTAGCCCGCGCCCTTTCCCCCTCCCCCGCCCCACTCTTATAATCTACAGCCGCTTCGTCGGCTTTCTCTTTTAGATCTTCTACCCCGCCTCAAGTTTTGACGTCAAATCCTTCCGCCACGAACCGCCAACATTGTGAAGCTCCTACCGGCACCCCGAAGACTTTCCCAATCATCCACCCATTGTTTCCCCCTTCCACCACCCTCTCCCTCCACCACCCCCCACCTACATAAGTTTGGTCGTCCAGTTCAGGTCCCTTTTATCCCAACAGTTCCTTATCACACGCAGACGTTGGAGGCCTCAACGGGGTAGTACAACTCAGCTGTTGGGATTGTCCTCTAAAGGGTCCTTCTCCGGTCTCCCATCTTATCAACCCATACTCTCCTCCCCTTCATCCAGCCCCATGTCTTTTTGTCTTTTTATCTCCTCCTCTACGCCCCTTCCCCATACCCATCCACCACTCCCGTCTTCATTTTAAAATTCTACAATATGTGCACCGTCTCCATTCTGTGATTCTTTTTACTGTTTCTTTTACGTTGCTTGCCAACGGCGCTCCACGCGCATGATAAATAAATAAAAAGCGCGCTATCTAGGGGAAGCTTTACGCCGAAAGTCGCTAACTTAGTTATAAAGCTTTTTATTAGTTTTTGTTAGCTTTCCCCCCTTTTTGGCGCTTTAAACCCCGTTTTTCAAACTTCCAAAACAAAAAAAATGTAAAAAACCGGCGGTATCCAAGAGATACTTTACTCCAGAAGTATCTAAATTAAAAATAGATCTTTTTAAAACATTTTTATGTATTTCACCCCCTGATTTTCGGTCAAAACCCCCATCTTTTCAAAATTTTACAGCAAAAAAGTGTAGACAACCGACGGTCTCCCAGGGCGATTGGAGACAATGCCCTCACCCACCGCCCTGCCACGCACGCATTTTTGAGCAAAACGAACGCCACGCTTTTTGGCGTAACTTTTGCAACTTAGAAGAGCTAATGGGCGAAATAATCTTAATATTCATCTTTTTCCTACTTTTGGCGCTTTCGAAAGCGCAAACGACGTACACGTGCGAGTGTCAGGGCGGGACCACGGATCCGGATAATTCGTGTAATATTCAGGTCAGTTAAAAGTTATAAAAAGTAATTTTATCCAGTATAATGGCGCCACGTTCACCGTAAATTATTGCACTTGCCCCGACGGGCTGGAGAGCACGTGGAAGAACGTCAGCGGGACGTATTTGGCGTACTGCCAGCAGTCGGAGATCTGGTGTAGGTTTTTGTACAGAAAAATAGTCTCTTATTATGTTTTTAGGTTTATTCTGCGTGAAAGAGCTTTAAAAATAGTTTTATAGTCTTTTAAAGGCCAAATTTTGGTTTGTAAGGGAGGAAAAAGAGCCTAAAAAGCTTATAAACATGATTTTGCGGGCTAATTTAGGTAAAATGATAGTTATTTAGGTTTTTATAAAGTATTACTAGCTTCTAAAAGTCTTAAAATACTTTCTAAAACCTTTTGCAGAGTTTTTAACGATATTTTTCGATTTTTGACCTTGTTAAATCTATTTTTAAGTGTTTTTGGATATTTTCCACGTCAAATTTACTGTTTTGCAAATACTAATAGATTTATTAGCCCTGATTTAGGGCTTTACACCGTATTCTGTAAAAGAAATCTGATTTTTAAGCGTTATACCGCTGCAACACGGCCTACCTTTCCGACACGTGGAAAACGGTGACGAAATGGGCGATCGTGGCCACGTCGGGACTCGTGATTTTCATGGTTTTCATCGTGATTATTATGAACTGTATGCACAAGTTGGTTTTGGAAAGCAGGTCGTCAAACTTTTAATTATTTAGAAGTAAGGGCCCCCAGCGGATGATTCATCTCTTCGAGGAGCTGACGATGGTCGTGCTTTTCCTGGCCATGGGCATTGCGCAGTTTTTCTTTTTGACGAAGGAGGTTTGGAATTGGTTTATTAATAGACCAGCCGCTTCCAGCGGCTTCGCCGCTGCAAGCGGCTGGACTTCGGGCTCCCCCTGGGGGCGCTCCCTCCCCTTCGCCGAAACACGCGCGACCTGGCTCACTATGTCCAAAATCACCCAACCTCCGTCCCCACCCCTTTTACAAAGGAAAAAACTTTAAAAGTTAAATTTAATAATTTAAACGAAGACTTTTTCAAAATTTTTTGATCAGTTTAGGGGTTTCTGACCACGCTCTATCCGAATCCGAAGAGAGCTAAGCTCTAGCTCCTTTCCCCTTCGAGTTGAATTCGGCTTCACACGGACAGACGGACGCGCCAAGAAAATTATTATAGTTGATGTTGACGTTTGAAATCATTTAAAATGCATTTTACGCTTTAAAATTTGCCTAAAAAGCTGTAATTTTAGCCAAAAGCATTTCACAAAAACGACGTCATAAGGCTCTTATTGTCTTTAAAAGAGCTTAGCGCTCGAATTTAAGGTCTAAAAAACTACAAACTACCATGTTTGACACACTAGAGCGTCGAAAAAGCGTTATTTTTCCAAAAAAAAATGAAGAAAAATTGATGCTTACAGAAAAACAGGTAAATCTATCTTTTTTTTATACTTTTGATGGCGCAATCAGTTAATTCCTGTAATTTTCAAACTACAAAAATTCCAGATGCCATGCAAAATCGTGACGATCGCCATCCAATTCACGATGACGTTGCTAGCCGGCCTCTTTTTGATGGAGGGCCTTTTCGCGCAGGGGTAAGCAGCCTATTTTTACCTCTGAATTTTATCAAATTTAATGCATTTACTTTCAGCATCCAGATTAACAATTTAGCCAGCCAAACCCGTTCAGAATGATCAACTACTCGAAGCCGAAGAACGCGGGGCTGGGCACGCCGATGAGCCTCTTCATCTCGTTGATCATCGCCGCCATATCGACGGGGGCCACGTATTTTTTGCAGCACAAATATTATGCGGTCAGCGGGTTGAGGTAAGGGTTACGGTAGTTGTGGCGTGACCTAGGAAGCGCCCAAATCGACCCCTCCATCGACTAGGTCTAGACAGCTACGCGACACGTCAAATGACATATTTAATTTGTTCATCTCATGCTTTTGAAGGCGTCATTTAGTGTATCCTGTAGCTGTCTAGACCTAGTGGATAGAAGGGGTGACAATACTGTCCCTTTAAAAGTCCATTTTCAGTTGTCACGCCGTGACCTCCGTCGGGATGATGTACGGCTTCATCATCCCCGTCTGGCTGCTCGTCTTTCTCGCCGGCGTTATGGTGATTTTATTCAGAATTGTTACAAATATCGCTCGATTTCCAGGCGCAACGCGGCCTTCTGAAATGCGTGAAAGTGCAGTACGATTCGGATCTCGAGCAGGTCTACTGGGCATAGTCCGTTTTTGTGCAAAGAAGACGCATTTTAAATTCAATGAAAGCAAATTTGACTCGTTATGCCAAAAATGCAATTTTTTAACTTTTGTAATTTTTTAGGGCCACCTACGACATGAAATTCGGTACTTTTACTTCAAAAAATTTGGTTTGTTAAAGTTTTTCATGAAATTCGAATGGATTACGTTAAGAAAGTAGGATTTTTTGGCATTTAGCAACCGTTACGTCATGAAATTCGTTCCTAATTGGCTGTAAAATTTGTAAATTTAAGGGAAAAAGCCACATTTATCGAGATTCTTGCAGCAAATCAGCGAAAGTGCTGGTCCCGTTTTCGACTCTCGTCACGACGATCTACGTGCTGATTATGTTTGGATTAGATCAGCAGCGGTTGGTTCAAATTTTTTTAACTTACCGCCTCTTAAAGGGGCTCCGAAATGCCAAATCAAAGCCCTTTTGGGAGGCCTCTTTGATTTCTGGCAAATTGCCAGCGGGCGCTGCGGGACAAGAGCCCTCACTTTTTCGATTTTTGCGCGAAGTTATTTTTGCCCGGTTTCTTTGTGAAAACGCTATAATTCGCGCATTCTGACCCCATTTTTTGAAATCCTCACTCATTTTAAATAGTTTTGGTGTTTTAATCATCAAATTTGGCCCAGAAACAGCCGAGAACGCGATTTCGAGGTGACAACAGGCAATTTCAAATTTTCCGAGCTTCCCGGCCCCTGGGCGTACAGAGGCTTCCGACGTACAGGGCTCCGATTTTCGGGCCGTCACTCAATTTTTGGCATTTCATAGCCCCTTTAATAACGTTATATAAGTTTAATTCGCTTTGTAAGAATTTTTAAAATCGCATATCGATTTTTTTGAAAGCTAAATTGGGCGGAATTTAGGTGGTACGTCCTGATTCTGGCGGCAATCCTGAACGTCATCCTCGCCTTCTACCTCTACGTCGCGCACACGTTTTCACAGCAAAAGGTGGGCTTGTTGGAATAAATTTTAGACGTCAAATTTAGCTAGCAAAAAAGAAGGCGCCAGGGCCGGGCGGGATTTACCGGCAATGTCCGAAGGATAAGCAGGTCAGTGGAAAGAATATATTTGAAAGGAAAGGCATACAAACAAATCTTTCTGATTACATTCTTTAAATGGTTTGGAAAAATTTTTAAATTTTTGTAAAATCATTTTTGAAAGTGAATGAATTTGAAATCGGAATTTTGTATTTTATGTGGTTATATATGATACAAATTATTTGTTTTAGGAGGGTTATTACCTTTTTTTGACGAATTTTTTTTACTTCAGGACTACGACAACGACAACCCCGATTCGAAGTCGGATGCCGCCCCGGCACCAGAACCCACAGAAGCAATTCCCGTTGATGCACCGCCGGCGTATTAAAAAAGAAAACAAATAAAATAAAACAAGTGTGAATAAAGTGGTTCCGTATTCTTGCGTAAAAATGCAGAAATCAAGTTTTTCAATTAATTTTTTTCTAAAAAAAATTGTTCGTAAAAATTCCCCTTTAATTTTGAGCATTTTCACGCTATTTTGTAACGACTCTATTGCTCAAAAATAGCCATTAAAATTCCAAATTAAAAATGATAGAATAATGACAAAGAAATACTCTTTTCATACGTTTTTAATCAGATTTTTTGTCATATTAGCTTCTGAAATTGGAAATTAGATTTTTGACCATGTTCAGCACTGTTTTTTCTCCAAAAAATAAAGCGAAGCAAAAGTTGCGAGCCCATTTTCGAATTCCAAAGTTTCCTAGCAACCCTACCGTAGCCTCCTCAAAAATTCTGGCTCCAAGGGACTAGAATTTCAAGGAACTGCGCCTATTCACAACCCCAAAAATGTTCGCCAGGGTCTGCGGGCTAATTCTAATTTTTATGCCGACGATAATATGGGTCGAAGCGACGACTAGTAGGTTTTTAGCTGGCACGATCCCTTTAAAAGCTAAAAAATCTTCAAACCAATGCTGGTTTCCCAAAGGGTCTTTGCCAGCTCACCATCCTTCGGCCGTTTCCTAAAGAATTCCTGCAGTTTCGCTGCTAGAGTCTTTCCCAAAAAATCTCTGCTATCTTGCCCGCCGTGCGCCATTTCCCAAAGGATTACTGCCGGTTCGCCGGGCCGGCTGCTTTTCCAAGGGGGTCTCTGCTAGCTTGCTTTGTTGGAGCTTTTCCCATAGGCTCTCTGATAGCTGGCCTTGCTAGAGCCATTCCCGCTAGCTTGCCTGGAATGAACCCTTTCCCAAAGAATCACTGCCGGTTTACCCTCATGTGTAGGGGCTGGCATGGATAGCTGCCCTGAGAGAGGCATTCCGTGTGCCCCGGTAGCTCAATAGGGAGAGCATCGGACTCGAAAACCGTGGGATGCGGGTTCAACCCCCGCCCGGAGCACTTGTTTTGCAGATTGGACCCGGAGCTAGTCCATGGCCATGGGACCCCAGAAATCCCAACTCTATATTCAATTCCCAAAAACCCCTGCAAGTTTGCCCTTATACTCGCGTAATTTGTCTAGACCTAGCCGATCAAGGGGTCGATTTTTGCAACCGCGAGTCCGTTGAAAAGGCAATAAAGATTTTTAGCGACGACTACGACAACAATGATGACGACAACCACCGTCGATACGAGCTATTCGTACATTTGCGTGTGTGACAATACGTCACAAGTTGTCGCGGGCACCGGATGCTCGATTACGGTAGGAAAATTGAAACTGAATTACGGTGTTATTTACCCTATTTTGTACAGAATTTCTCGCTGAATGCGATCCCGGGTTTAAATTGAATTAATTATGTCTATTTTAAAAGTGACAAAGCTTTTTCTAAAAATATGCTTGAAATTTACCTGTTTACGATCAAAACGAGCTGTAACTTTTTAAAATTCCGGATTTCACAACACATATCCCGTATTCAAAATCAGCGTAAAATTCTGTACGAAAAACGCCGGTTAACGCTCGAAAAAGGCGGCCTGATCACGCGAAAAATCCAAAAATACGATTTTGCCAATTTTCAGGGCTCCGACACGGAAGTGAATTACGCTGGTTGTTCATGTGCTGACGGGACGGATATCCAACCGAAGCAAGTATCTGGTATCTGGGTACTGTATTGTGGGGATGAACCGACTGGGAATTATACCGGATATACAACGACTACGACGACTACTGTCAGCACATCGACTGGTGAAAATTTTACCGAATTCAATTTCTTCTTTTTTTTGGAGCCAACGCGAATTTGAATCTTGTATTTTTTCAGACTGCGAAGACCTGGATGAAGACGGGGAATGTGACGAAGCACAAGCATTACGGTAACTTTAAGAGGGAATTGTCAGGATTCCAGGGACGACCGCAACGCAACCGTGCGCGACGCTTTGTAGCCATTTTCAAGGCGGGAGCAGGTGCGGAAGTGCCAATTTTGAGGCTAATTCTGGCATTCCCAGGCGCTTTGAGCGCTCTAGCGCTTCTAACAATCAATTTTGCACGCTAGAGACCATTACGCCACGCTATTCTGAGGCGCGGAAATGGTCCTTTTTTAACCACAAAAGCGTTTAATTTTTCTCAGGAATTTGGCGTTTTGTCTCGCCAGAAAAAGTATTTTTGTGCACGTTTAGTCAGCAAACTTGGGTTTTTGGCCTAGGTTCTATGCACGAGCTTCCAAATTTTGCCCTGCATGCTCCATCAATATTACAAAAAAGGTATATTCAGATGTACGACACGATACATGTCGGAGAGCCTATACAAAATATTCAAATGGGCATTTCTGGTGATGTTTATATGGATTACCGGATGGGTGTTGGCCACGATATTTGTCAACATCAAGCATAAGTCAGTTATTTGAGATTTAAATAGGTCGAAAACGCTAAAATCGACTCTGCCGTCGAACGGGTCTAGACAACTACAAAGCACTCCAGATGACACTTCCCGGTTTTTGCTCTAAAGTTTGGTCCGTTGGGGTCATCAAAAACAGTTTGAATGCGTCATATGGCGTGTGTCATAGCTGTCTAGATCTAGTAGATGGAGGGTCTATTTTCGCACTTGCCAGTCCCTTTATAAAACAGAATTTTGAAGCTTCCATGCTTTTTTCATTTTCAGAAATTCCGGGCACCACCGCTACATCCATCTTTTTGAGGAGATTTCAATTGTTTTATTATTTTTGACGATGGTCGGGCTGCAGTTGTTCTTCAACATCAAGCAGGTCGGCAAAAGTTTTTTCATGAATTCTTAAAACTTTAAATTCGACAAAAAGCTTTTTTAAATAAAATTTTAATCGGCTAAAATTAAAACCGATTGTTTTATTTAAATCAAAATCCGACAATTTTTGAAGAATCCCTGCAAACTCCTAAAAATCCTCTCGCACCTCTTCATGGTCGTCACTTGCGGCGCTTTCTTTTTCGAGGCCTGGTTTGCTAATTCGTGCGTTTTAATCGCAATTACCGTAGTGACAGTAGCTGCAGTATCCCCCGAAAACCGAAAAAATTCCATTTTTCAGTCTGATCAACGCGAATTCCCTAAAAAACGGCAGCGTCCCGGCTTTCCTGAACTATTTGCTGCCGGTCGTGATGGGTGTCGTCGTTTCGCTACTTTCATATTTTGCGAAAAAGACGGAATATGCATTGAGTGGATTACAGTAAGACCCCGTTCAAAACAAATCAAATTAATTTAGCTGCTTGGCGCCGACAAATGCTGAAATCCTGTGGGCCTACTGTATCCCGCCGTGGATTCTGTTGATGGCCGCGTCGTGGAAGGTAAGGAAACATTTGAATCCAGTTCTAGTAGCAAATGGTAGAGGGGTAGGCTAGTAGAAACCATTTCGGAAGCTAGGAACTTTGCGAGATCCCTGAAAAAATCGGAAAGCTAGTCGCGTCATGCCCAGAGGCTGAGAGAGTCTAGTAGGAGGCTAGCAGATGAGACTTTAGAAACAAAAATAAATTACAAATTTGGTTGAATTGCGTTGGAATAATAGCGGTGTGCCGTGAGGAAATCGGGCAAGCTTGCATAGATCCTTTAAAACTGTAAAATTTTTTAATTATCGGATTTTAGGTGCAAACCGCCTTTCTGCAATGCCGAAAATTCGACCCGAAAAAGGCCGACGAAAAGCAGATCTACTGGGCATTGTGGGTTGCACAACATTTTAGAAAAAAATTTCATAATAACGATATCAACGTACGGTAATTCCAAGCGTGTCAAAATTAAACAGTTATATTTTGAAATTCGAAGCGCGAGTACGCAAACAAGCAAGCTAGCAAGCACGGAAAGACGTAATAGCTAAAAATCCCACGATTTTAGGATGAAAAATCTTTTTAAATACCTAAAAAAGTACCAATTTCAATTAGCAAGCTACCCTGCAAAAATTTCGGGTCCCTCGATAAAACGAATATAAAATCTTTGCGCTTTCCAGGAATATGGCAATATCCGAGAACCACGTAAAATTTTTCATAATTAATAACGAGACTTAATAAAAGCTAAAAAAATTGTAATGCTGAGGGATACGGTACCAATCCAAGTACGAAACTTCTGGGTTTTTAGGCCTAAAACCCCTTTTACATCCCTAAAAAAGTACACCTACCTAATTCGGAAATCGTTCCCCCGGGTTTCGAAAAACCCCCGTAAAATTAAGGGCATTTTGGCATAGCGAGAGGCGTCAACAAAAAAAAGTATAGTGATAGTGATAGCGAGAGGTCGGGGGAATCCCCCCCTCTAGAGAGTCAGCTTTTGCCCTTTAGCCCTTTTTCAGGGCCAAAAAAGATAAGAAGTACTGCCTCGTGTCGTGTTGCTATACTTTTAAAGTACACCCACCCGGCCGTAAAAACAAAAATAAAAGCATGACAAATCCGGGGATTTCAAGGCGGACTTTTTGGGAATAAACAAGCGGAAATGCCGGTTTTGAAGGTCCTAGCGAGGCTAAAATGACGTCAAAGGGGGCGGGGCTTATGGTTTAGATACCAGGAAAAATACGTATATTTTAAGGGCCTTATTTAAAAAGTTTTTCTATAACGTTTCATTTCTTTTAAATTTTAGATTTGGACAGATTTTAATATTTGAGTGATGCTCTCTTTCAGCCGATCAGCCCGTGCTCTTCCTCCATTCGGATGGCTTCTCTTTGGCATCTATATGTCGATGATCTTCGGGATGGACCAGCAATTATTCTGGGTTCTCGCGCTCGCCATTGTGATGATGATCATCTACGGGCCGGCTATATTCTTCGTTCACACTTATGGGCACATTAATGTGAGTATATAGCTGTCTCGCTTTCTTTCTCTCTCTCTCTCTCTCTCTCTCTCTCTCTCTCTCTCTCTCTCTCTCTCTGACTTGAAAATTGCCTATTTCAGACTCAAAAGCTCTACCACCCGAAATGGTTTGGATTCTACACGCCGTGCCCCCCAGATCAGCCACGTCCATCTTCACCCTCACTTTCTGATGATGAGGTTTTTCAACTTGGTGATATTCATCGGAAAAACTGAATTCAGAGTGAATCCACGCCGTTGCCGGATGATCCGAAGAAAGATCCCGATGCTCCCCCACCGGCTCCTGGAGGTTTGGGATTACGATAACTTACGATAATTTTCTCAGTCTCACCCCTCTTCGCCTCATTCCCTCTCGCATTATCACAGTCACTCTCATGCTCTAGGTTGATCTCAGTTTCTCACGTGCTCACCCACTCTCGCTCGTAAAAGGTAGTAGAAATTGAGCTCGACACAAAAAAGAGAGAGAGAGAGAGAGAGTGAGAGGGAGAGAAACAGACGGGCAAACAGTCAAATTCCCGTTTTGACAATTTCTCAAATTATTTACTTTTAGAGAATCCCAATCCGTCTCAAAAACCTGGGGCGCCACGACCAGGAGCGGTAAGTTTTAAAATTTTCCAAAAAAACAAAATTTTGTGATTGGCTTTGCGTGGGGGATTTTTTTACCCCGGTTTTTAGCCGCCAGCCGCCCCCTCCGGTCCAACCCACGCAAAGGCGCAGAACTTCTACGATTGGCTGCTGAATGGGCAACAGGGGCCGAATATGGGCCAGGAAGGAGCGAATATACTGTTCAGACCCAGGCATTGAAGATAAAAACTCGGTCGTTTCTTCCTCTAGCTCTCTCACGCTCTCTCTCACTGTCTCTCTCACTCTCTCGCTCGTCCTAAAAATGATCCTACTATATATAAAAAAATAGTGTCTGTGTGTGTGTGTGCATTTGCATGCAACTTCCGTCACCGTGTTCCAGTAGTATCTCAAGAAGGGAAGTACTTAGGGGTATGTTCGATACGTCATTAGGTGCGTAATGAGCTGGAGATGACTGCACACATATTAGATTTTACAAAATATGATGTTTTCGACATTAAAATTGAGTTTTTCTGGGAAAATCGGACACCCCGATTTGTTAGGATCAAATTAGCATGCACCGGAAGTCGCGGTAGCCTATATAAAGGGAAGGCAAGAGCATTTTTCATTTTTCGTCATCCGAATCCGTGAAAATCATGCAAAGCCAAGAATATTATTGGAGAAGACGGGGCCAGGGTTGAAAAGCCGCGAAGCGGTTTTTCAACCCTGGTGTATATTAACAAATTGCAAACAAGACTAAATAGACGGGGTCTATTTTAGCCAGTTTGCACGTCGAGTAGTTGTCGAGAACTTGTCGAACGATAGGGTCGATTCTGGGACTTTCCAGCCCCTTTAAAACGGTTTCCTGATATTTCCGTGCCCTGAAAATACCCTCCCGGTGATTCATATTTTGTGCCCATGACCGGAAAACCCATTATCTACGGCTGCCCTTTGGCACAGGTTGTGTATTTTTGTGTATCCCGATCTGACCCTATCCACCCATTGTTCCTCTAATCCCTTCTGTCAACTGTACAATCACGGATTAAACTGTTGATCAAAACAGCCGATTTCTGGTTTCATAAATCAACAGAAAATCACGTAGATAAGGATTTGCAAAAATCTACGGCTGGTTTGCATGGCAGAAAAGTGAACAATTGTGCAAAATTCGTTTTTGAAGGGACCTTGGATGTAACCTTTCGGCGTGGCAATAGGTTTTTGGATGCTGAAATACTGGAGAAAACAAAAGTTCAGGTGTTAAAGGTTACGCCAAAGATACCTGGAGGGAAAAACGTCAAAATTTCGAAATTTTCGGTAATCTGCATAAGCTCCACAGCGCTGCAAATCACGGCTTGGAGTACACCGAAGCTTGTGGAACAGGCTCTACTAAATTTAATCATCAGGTTTTTAGTTTGTCTTTCTCTCTCTCTCTCTCTCGCTCTCTCTCTCTCTCTCTTTCTTAAAATGAAATTTCGCAAATTGGGCAATTCGTCAAAATCCATTCCGCTCCCTTTTTCTCAACGTTTTCAGGATTCTTATTAATCCGGTTTCCTTCGGATTTTCCCAATTCTGCAACACTTGATAAGCGGACGACACGACTCGACCTAGAGGTCCCCCGGTTCAAAGTGATCTTGTCTTATCCGTCCTTCTTATTGTCTATTCTAATCTTCGTGAGACTCTGCAGACAAAGAAATCGTAAGAAGACAATGCAACTCTGCACCTGCCAATATCAGACTTCCGAAAGCCGTTCCGTTGCCCTCAAAAATTTCCATGAAAAATCCACAAATTTCGGTCCCGGTTTTGGAAGATGTCTGGCCGAGAGAACGAGATACAAAAAAAGACAGAGAGGGAGAGAGAGCGCGAGAGAGAGAGAGAAAGAGAGAAAGTCGAGTAGTTGTAAAAATAAAAATAGCAGGGCGATCTGGAAGTCCGTGAGATCTTTCTGGTCAGCCGATCGGTCATTGATAGTATTTTTGGGGGTTTGGGGGTTGATAACCCGTAAAATGCGATCATTGCAATTTTAAGGTCAATTCAATGAAGAAGGAATCGGAGTCCGCCTTTTTTGAGCATCACGTAATAAGGGTTTTACATAGGACCCGGTCGACCGGGTACCCGGTTCAAACGTGTCCGCAACTGGGTACCCGGACCCGGACGCCAGATAACAACTCTAATCGAGACCTAGTCCTTACAAGGGGTCGACTTCCAAGCTTGCCGGTCCCTTTAAGGCTACACTTTATTGACTAACAGTTTTTCAAAACAGAACACTCGAAAAATTCGAATGTTTGTTTTTATTTTGATTTCCGGTGCGCTACACTGACGTTTCGGGTTGCCCACGTGCCAGTCAACACAAATTTTGACCCGTCGGCGTCAACACACCAACCTTTAATGTGCAACAAGCCCGTTTCTTATCAGTTTTTTCGGTGGCCATCAGCCGTACAAGGTCCCCTTCCCCGGCGTCACTGACTTTTAAAGAGCGCCCCACTGACCGGGGAGTCCCAAAAAACCCGAAAAACCGGGGGCTTATCAGAAGCGGAAGGAGCGGGGTTTGATGAGGTGTTTTTGTCTGGGTCAGACACGTGAATAACTTGTTCCGAAAATATTTAGTCAGGCTGGGTTTTATAACCTGACTGAACGCGTCCCACTTTTTATGGCAGGAAAAGGGCAAATGACCCTCTGAAGCGGACTTTCGAAAGTGTGACACAAGGGAGGCTAAGCTGCAGACAAAGCTAAACAAGGTCTAAACACTAAATTAGCTGAAATGTTGGGCAATGATTTCTCGGCTGGGAAAAACCTAAGAAAAAAACAAGAAGTAACAAGAAACAGTGTCTACAAGGGTTTTGAAAAGGCTAGAAAAATGTATATTGTATTTTTTGAGATAAGCTTTAGAAAAACGTTAATACTGCAAAATACCCTGTAGCAATAGTACCGGAGCGAAATGTTTCGTATTTTATCCAAAAATCCCAAGAGGCCTGAAAAATTGCAAACTGAATTTCATACAATCGCGATTTCTGGTAGAAAACGTTAAAACGTCAGAACAGAAATTATTAGGACAGACTAAAAAACCCGAAAAATCCGTACAAATCTCTACATATTTTGAATAAACGAGGTTTCACGAAAATTTCGAAAAAATTACGCGAACGCCTGATTTATCACTTCCGCCGATTTTAGGGAAATCGCGGCCGGTTCAGAAAGTGGACGATATTTTTTGAAAGGTAGTCCGCAGGTTTTTTTTCTGCGCTTTTGAGAGCCTCCAGTTGTATAGAAACCACGCCGATTCGGACCGATAAATCCAGATCCAAGCTATTGTTATTTTTGGGACATTTGGGTGCATGAAATCCTTTTAATCTTACTTTTTATTACCGAGACTGGTCTGACCAGTCCGCTCAGTCCCTCACAATTCGTCCAAACACGATAAAAGATAAATCTTGCGCTCTCGTGCTTGACTTCTGGTAGAAAAGTGCAAATAAGCACGCACTAGCGAATCGCTAGCTGTGATACAGACGTACTTTCGGAAAAAAGGAAAAGATTCCAACACTTGCCGGAGTTTCTCGAGGAGCTCATGACTTACGCTACTACCTACTTATGTCCTCGGCCGTCAAAAGGCGTGTTGCGTCGAAACGGAATTCTTACGGTTTCAATTTCCGGTTTCATCCCCTAATACGCATCAAAAAATTAAAGAAACTTGTGTCGTGTAAGGCTTTTGATTTTTGGTTGTTGTGAAATGTTTGAAACCATTTCTTGCCGCCGATTTTTTATCATTCATCGAGTACCTTCTGGCGTAGGATCTGCCAAAAAGTTGCGACCAGCAATTCGCACTTCTCAGACACCCAAAAATCCGGTTTTCCAACCTGATTTGATTCATTACCGTCCAGCGGCTGATTAAAAGTGCAGTAAACTACTTTCGGACTGCCCGCCAAGGCAAATTTGGCTTTTTAAAGTTTATTTGGGTTTTCTGGGTCACCATCGGTCAATCCTTCGGGGCTATGTAGCTTCAACTACATTCTTGCCAGTTTCCAAGTGCACCATAACACTTTCTGACTGTCAGTTCACCCGAAAAACCCACCCAGACGGCACATTTTTAAGGGTATCGCTGATTTGTACTTTCAAGAGTACAGAAAACAGTAGGCGTTCTTCCAGGGTGAGAGAGAACGAGAGATAGAGAGAGAGAGAGAGAGAGAGAAATAGAACGGCTTCCGAATGTCCTCCTAATCAGAAGGAGCATGATTCGGCTCCTCGAGATGTTTATTTACCGTCTAGTTCTGATGGGAAAGGGCAATTTTTGGGGGGTAGAAGACGTGGGGCGTGAGAGAGCACAGGGAAGGGGAGGGGTAGAGAAAGAGCGAGAGAGCGCGTAAAGGGAGTGGGGGCAGAGAGCGAGAGGGTGAGAAGCCCCCGCCCATACCTTTCGGAATATAATCCCATCCTTTCCGTCTCCATGGCATCAGAAACGATTAGGCAAATTTGCCGATTGGTAAACTGGAAGCCGGGCGGATTATATTTAAAGCGGCTTGGATTTTAAGCGGTTCCTGTTGATTTTTTCGGCTTTAGAATATTTCGTTTCCGTTCCGTTCCAAGTTCCGTTCCGTTTTCCTTATATTAATTTTTCTGAGAATTCCTATTAGATATTTTTATATATTGCTAGGCAGCTAGTCAAATTGAAGAAGAAACAAAAATTTTCGTGGTCTTTTTCGTAGATAATTAATTATTTCTAAGGCGGATTTTCTTATTTATGATCTTCTTAATCT